TGTTCAATACTTATTTTACCCCCTGTATACTCACTGTGCTGATTGGTGACATGCTGTGTACCACACTCAACATGGACCAGTGGAAGAGAAGGAAAGAGTTGTCTCAAAAGATCAGAAAGAAAATTAAAGACAAGCATGTTAAAGGTAAATGTTATTAGACCATCTCTAAGCAGCTTGATGTTCCTGTGACAAGAGTTGCACATTTAGTCAGGACTGTAGCCAGCCTACTTGGATGTGGCTTAAGGAAAATTGATGACAAGTCAAAGAGAGGGATAATATGAATGGTAACAAAAGAGCTCAGAAAAACCACCGAAGAGAATAAAGATGAACGTTTTAGCAAGGCATAGCAGCTCTATGTTCACAGATGGAGAAATGAAGCACATCATGAAAAGAACACTGTTCCTACTGTGAAGCATGGAGGAGGTTCTGTTACGTTCTGGGGCTGCTTTGCTGCATCTGACACATGGTGTCTTGAATCTGTGCAGGTTACAATGAAATCTCAAAACTATCAAGGGATTCTAGAGAGAAATGTGCTGCCCAGTGTCAGAAAGCTTGGTCATGGGTCTGGCAACAGGATAACCTGAGACAGCTGGAGCAGTTGGCTCATGAGGAGTGGGCCAAAATACCTGCTGAGAGGTGCAGAAGTCTCACTGACAGCTGCAGGAATCGTTTGACTGCAGTGATTGCCTCAAAAGGTTGTGCAACAAAATATTAAATTAAGGGTACCATCATTTCTGTCCAGGCCTGTTTCATGACTTTTATTTTTTAAAATATTCTATTGAAGCATGGTTGAAAAGAAATGTCTGAATTTCATTTAATTTTCACAGAATTTTTATTTATTACTTTTGTCAGATTCTAGTTAGCCTGGTTAAAACCAGACCCTGTCCTTCACTTTGCTTCGTACAAGGGTCTGGACTTGCTGCGTAGAGAAGTGATTCTTGCTGGAGGCGTGGCCTCTGCTGAAGCATGTGTGTGTTGTCCGTGTGAAACAGGCTAAGCTAAGAAGCTAACCGGAAATTGCGTGTGCTGTAAACAACCCTACTGAGAGGAGAAAAGTACCGAGCCGAACGATTAGAAAATTAGTTAACCTCATTTATAAACTGACAGGAAAACATAATAGATGGTACTAATGTTATTAACTTGTAACAATGGTATTGGTCATTGTCGGTTTGGTCTAAGGTAACTTCTTATGCCTGTCCAGTATCAAAACTGGTATAGAGAAAAATAACTTGAATACAAAAAAAGGTGTGTTTAGTTGAATTAGATTCAGGTATTTTCTTATAACAAACATGAATTATGATGGTAGCATACTTTACTGTTATTCGTGCCTTTCATTTTTTTTTATTTAGTATGCTGAAGCCAATTTGTTTCTCTTCTACTGATACGTATCAAAAACTCAATCTGTAACAATAATTTGTTAAGTACTAAATCTCCTGTTTTCTTTTAAATTGTAAAGGAAAACCACAGTTTCCAGATTTATTAACTCAAAAATATGTTAGTCAGACTGGATTTCTTTTCTCTTTCATATAAACAGTGAATTAGAAATTAAATGTGTAGGTGGTAACTGTTCACATGAATGTAAAGGAGAAAAAAAAGGTGATAATGATGACAACCGAGCTCACGGGGGTGGCTGTATTTCCCTTTTTTAATGTTTTGCATGTTTTTCTTGTTTCTTATTCTGTTAACAGAACACTCTGGGACTGTTTGATGCAAACATTTAATATCCGGTCACGTCTGCACCGTTTGTAAATGGCATGTAAGAAAAGCTAAAAATGCACATCACTGTCCGGAATGGTTTCTTCCACTATTCTGCAAACCTCCCCTGAATGAGTCATCCAGCTGGCTGCTCATTGGATGAGACCCTGCCATCCCAAGGGATTGCCTTGCAGAGGCAGAAAGGCCTTGCTTTCATTCACAGAAACTCTGGTATGCCAGCCGGCTATTTCATTCACATAAAAGACCAAATATCGCTCCTTCTTTTTCTGTGGTCTTCTGCTCTTTTCCTTGTGTGTGTTTTTTTTTTTTTGGCCTGCTCTCCTGCTTTACAAGGGCCTGCCTCATCATCCCTGCCTCTATGTCTGCCTTTGTTTCTGAGGAGAAAAGGCAGACGTGCTGTCTTTTTTTCTTTCTCTTGCCAGCCAGGAAAGAGATATTGGGAAGGACTGCAGTGCGAAATCTGCAGCACAGTGAGAGCGGAAGCTGCTTATGAATGAGAGTCAGTCTTTCAGCTTTGCTTAGACGCTCCTGAGGACATTTTTTTTATCTGAATGTGTGCTTTTTCTCAACCGAGGAGAGAAACCAAGGCTGCGTTGCTGTTGATTTTAAGGAGGTTCTCTGGGCGTTTTGTTTTATCCTCTTGGTCATTTCATTGACTTATCTGCCTGTGTATTTCTTTTTTTTAAATTTGTATTATTTATGTAAATAATACAGCCTGGATCAGTGGTGGATATCTCTCTGAATCTGCTTCTGCTTTCTTGTTGTGAAACTTTCTTTTGTGTGTCATTTCTAAATTTCAGAGTAGTTACAAAATTTATGTTTGGCACGTTAGCGAAATTGTTTAACAGTTGTATTCATCAAAAGTTTAGCTTTTTTTGGATTTAATGTCTGATTATAAGTATGATGGAGAAACGACAAGTGCACTGAGTCATTGTAGCTTTTGGATAGTACGAAGCTGCAGTCCAGGCATGATATCTGCGTACGTTGTGCTGCTATTATAAAGAGAAACGGGCAATATGAAGATGTTTCCAGTTGTGCCACAATTTCTCATTTCTTTTCTCTTTTTAATGAAACCTTTTTAAACACGTTTTAGATTAAGCTTCAGCAGACAGCATCCTTCGAATTGACCAGTTCTTATATATTATTTCACATCATTTATAGTCATTTCTTTTATTAGTTTATCCTGCAACAGTTTTCATCTCAATTGTCTTTATAGTATTGCTTTAAAACAGGAATTCCAGTTAATTGTAGATAATTATTTTTGCCAAATTAAACTATCAAGCTTTCTCCCGTTTTTTAATTTCCTTTTCTCAGAAACGAAAGAGTTATGGCAAATAAAGATGAAACCGGGGAATTTAAAAATTGATTGGTTCTAGTGTAAGTGGGAGTTTTTTTTTCTCTCCTTCCAACAGGAAGTGATTTGCAGTGTTCAGCAAGCCTTTTGTTGAAGGTTTTCTCAGATCAGTGAGTCATGCTTTAGCTCTGAGCCGGCAGGCAGCAGTCAGCAGAGAGGATTTGCTTTTTCCTCCCAGTGTCCGTGATCGTCAGCGACACAGATCTTTTTAATGTTTTTTGACTTTTTGTTTTTGGATTTTCAAGGCAAGAGAATTTTTAAAAAGCAGAAGCGGCGGCGGCGTCAGCAGTGTTGAAGCTGCGCCCCAACACTGGCAGTGTTCTGTAATCTTCTTCCTGTCCTTCAGTGTTGTGTTTCCATGGATTTTTCTCTCTGTTTTTTCCTCTGACGAATTGGATTTCAGCTCTGGATTTTATTGATAGCAGATTGGACTTCAGCGACAGCAGCAGCACAACCACCACTGTACCCTTTAAAAAAAAAACCCAGTCAGGTGGCCTGTGGTTGCTGAAAGGCGTTTGCTGCCTGTATCGTTGCTGCTATGTTACAGGAGAGGGTGATGAGCGCGGCTCAGCCACGTCTGCCGGTGCTCTTGTGAAGGAGGCAGGCTGTGTGTGTTGGTTGGTGGGGAGAGGGGAGAGAGCAAGAGAGAGAAGGGTATGCTTCACCGTACTAAGTACAACCGCTTCAGGAATGAGTCTGTAACGTCAGTCGATGAGCTTCTCCACGGCCTGTCCATGAACCCCAAGGTTTCGGCCTCCCCCCAGCCTGCTGCCGAGCCGTCCTACACACCCCCAGCTGAGGTTCAGCCCTCTTCCACCAGCATCACCACCAGCCACGGCTCTGACCATCTGGAGGATGGAGGCACCACCCTCTGCACCCTCATCAACAAAGTCTCCGGCCTGAAATTCAGCAACTCGGGCAGCTTGCTGGGCATCAAGGGCCTGCCCTCGGCTGTCAAGGACCTGGCTGTGTCCAAGCTGCAGGGGGGTGGGGGATCAGGCTCAGGCACCTCCAGTGGCTCGAGCCCCAGTGTGGCGACAGCAGCGGCGGCGGCGGCGGTCTCTGGTGCGGGAGGCTCTCTGTGCAGCTCAAGCCCCTGCACACAGCTGGAGCCAGCTGTCAGCATGAGCAAGAAGAGCAGGCTGGATGACCTCCAGCCCAGCGGAGAGGACTGGAATCCAGGTGGAGGTGGTGGACTGATGAGCAAGCCCTCCAGAGGATGGCTCCACTCTAATGAGAAAATCTCTGGTCCAGGAGTCACATACATCGTGAAGGTAGGTGGACTCAGCATCTCCTTATGTCCACAACTCATCGCCCATTCTTTCCTTTTTATCAGTGACTAGACTTTAGCTACATCTGAAGAGAAGAAAAGGGTGATAATGCAGTCACATTTGCGCATCACAACATGCCCTTGAGTGGGTGTATGTGGGCTGGCTGAGCAGAAGGCTGAGCAAAGGAGCAGCAACCAGAAAACACAGAATAATTCAGCAAATTTAGGAGGACAAAACTAAAAAAAACTACTAAGAAGCCAACGACTGCAACATAAAGACAGTTGTTAAAATGCAATTTCATTTCTTTCAGTTTATCTGCTTTTTCTGACTCATGTTTTTGAAGCTACAGCGTTATGCTTTCGTAACCATGGTGATGTGTTATTTCTGTACATTGTGCACCTCTGTGAGCTCCACGGATGTTTTAGCTCCCAGAAATGGCTGAATGTGGAAAAAGACACGTTTTGCCCGATCCCAGCTTTGTCTCTTTTTGATGTTCTTCAGCTGTCGTACATTGTTTAAGTTGGTGCACAACTAGAATAGTAGTGAATGTCATCATGCCAGCAGTGAGTCACTAACATATGGCTTCTCAAGGTAGGAGATGAATGGGGGGTGATGGAAGAAACCATTTTATTAAAGCCTTAAGGAAATGCTTTATTACTAATTCTGTAGTTCAACTCAACAGAATATTTGTATCATCACTGGATGAAACCTGTTATTTTCCAAATGAAATAACACAGGCTGAAAGCCATCACATGACGCCTACTACAACATGTCTAAATAAAGCCTACAGTATCTGTGGCCAGCATGACATTTCATTGACTGCATTAAGGCAGAGCACGCTTGTTTGCCCAGTCAATGCTCCTGAAAGCATCCTCACTGTGAGAGGGGAACTGGGTCTGGCCTGACTACCCCCACCCCCCACCCCTGGCTGTGGTTTGTGTCCCGGGTGTATTGAGTTCAGTGTGGTGTTTCTGCTCACAGCACTTTTAATTAGCGTGTTATGGGCACTTTGCTAAAGGGGCATCGACTGACTGTGACATAGTTTACTTTAACACTTGTACAGTTTTTTTGTTGTTTTTGTTAATTATGTTCAGAATTCAATACTCGTGTGTGTTTGTAGTAACAAGTCTCCAATGTTTGCTGCTTTATTTCTGAGCTTAAATTTAAAACAAAGAATCTGTTTAAGTGTTGAAAAAGGTCAAGCCGTTTTAGCAATCCATTGTGTTGCAAGGCCAATCTGGGGTGCAGCGACTGCTGAAACACACACATTGTCTTTTATGTTTAACTAAGAAAAAAAAGTCTAAAAAATAACTCATTGCTTATTAAACTTGTTGATCCTCCAAAGATTCATTGCAATTTTGTAGCTTCACTTAATCCACATTATGTTTTTCATGTTAGCTAACGCTTATTCAAAGATCTGCTATGGGTGACACGGTGGCGTGGTGGTTAGAGC